TAAGGATTATTTTTGGAAGTTTGAAATCAGATTTCCGATATTTTAGAAACATATAATATCACACCAAACCTTTTGAAAATTCACTTCATTTGATAATTTACAAGAATTATTAATAGTTGTAATTGAAAAAAAAGACTTTCACTTTAGTATTTACTTAAATTACTTTTATCTTCATACTCCAAGTTTTTTATCCTATTCCTAACTGAAATTCTTTCGTCTCGAGAAATTTTTAAATTTAGGTTTGAATTGAAACATCGAATAGGAGTGGGATGCGACGACTGTATGAGTGCTCGTATAATTCAATCATTTTATCCACAGCGGTAACGGTTTTATAAAATAGAGTAATATAATGCCATGCCATCATACAAAAAATTAGAGAGATCTGTGAATGATCTTAATGCTGAAAAATTTTACAAACAATAAATGAATCCACATATTTTTTTGACATTATTGCTACAGAAATATAAAATAATACAATTTATGAATTTAATAAATAGGAATTTTTAATCAATTTAATTATGAATTTAATAAATTTAATAAAAATTATTGAAGTCAATCAAAAAATGTCCAACTTAAACGCTCTGGGAAGTCAGGCGAGTAAAATCAAGCGCATAGCAAATGTAGTAAGGTACAGTTTTGGTTTTATAGATCTTCAAGATTTTTTGAAAGTTCAAACAGTGCAGCACCACCAGTGGCACTAGCAATGCAGGCAGAACAATCTCAAACAAACAGACAGGTGGCACCCACCACATTAACATCACAGCGTCTCGAGTTAGGCTCATCAGCTAACCTACCACAAATTGTCGTAAGTTCTTTTTTTTGGGAAGTCAGACAAGTAAAACCAAGCGCGTTTCGCTTTTTCATCTTAATTATAAGAACAGAAAATGTCACAAAATATGCTGTGATTCCTGTCTTTTGCTACTAATATTGCACAATTATGAAAAGAGAGCCTTAGGCTTACAGTGCAAAGTGTACCGTTCAATTCACTGCGAAACTGCATGTGATTATTGGCACCTATTATCGATTTCAACAAGTTTATCTCCCCAGTACGACAGTCGCTAGAAATGACAAAATATCGTTGTGAGATCAACAAGAACGATAATTTAGAAATTTATTAGCTACAGTATTTAGGATTCTCGTCTTGACTTCTTGCGCAAAATTATTCCAAAAATCAAGGAACAAGCCGAAAAATCTGGCATTGAAGGCGTCATGCAGGTGAAGATGCTGCAAATGGATCCCTTCGAACCGAAACAGGTGGATGTTAATTACACTTCCGTTTCACATTTGATTTAAGATGTAATTAAAACTTCACATGAATTTAACTAAGGAGTGTAAATTACTGAAACCGTTTAGGTAAAGCCATTACAGTTACTCGACGGATTAGAAGAAAGTCAACTCCAACCAGTAATTAACGCACCGCAACTAATTGATTTTATGACACCTATCCGTTCAATTCTGTTGTCTGACCTCTTACGCTTGAATACGGGTGACAACGATGAAAGGTAGGGATGAAGACTTTAAACTAAATACTATTTTAATAATGTGAAATGAAGCCGTATCTAAAATTATTTTATCCTACGTAGTGAATAATAACAATAAAAGAGTAATAATTAATAATAGTAACAATAATAATAATAAATAAGAATGTTGAAGTTTTAGAAGCACTAAATTAAAGCCAGTGAAAATTAAAGCTTGATATTTTTCAGCCAGGCTTCAGGAATTCAATTTTTTGGACCGCAGCAGGATGATACGGTTAAGGGTGGACCGATGCTTATACTAGGACCATTTTTGCAACCACAGCAGTTACAGCTGTTACCTACTGTTTGGGATAATAACAATAATATAGCTTGGAGCAATTCATTGCAACCTCATCTGTTTGACTTGGCCCAGCAAATGAGCAAACAACAACGCTGGGTTAATTGGCAGTGGCCTATTCCTCCCTATCACAAAAATAGTAACGAAAAAGTTGCTCAATGGCAGGGTGTTCAATGGTTAAACGATCATATGTCCACCACACCTGTAGTGCGACAGAATTCTTTGCCCGCATGGGAAAGTACTTCTAACCAGTGGCAGGATAATGCTCATATGGCAGGTAAATGGCAAAGTAGTATTCAGAGTGGAGCAGGCAGTCAGTGGGCGCAAGGAGGATGGCAAGGACAAGGACAAGGAGAGCAGCAGCTTTGGTCTCAGTATTCTCAAACTTGGCTACCAAGCATGAATCAGAACCAGTATCAAAACAATAATGATTGGAATATTCAGAGAGTAACTCATTCCTAACATTCATGAATAATTGCCTTATAAGACTTTAGGTAGCATAAACAAAAATTGAGCGTTCAGAGTGAATGAATTAATGAAATTGTTACTTTCTAATAAATTTACTATTTAAAATTTTCTGAACTATTTTAATTTAAGTTTATGTCTCTTATGGATGACGCAATAGTAATAGTAATTGATTTTTTCTTTGAAATGGTTTCAACAGTCCTTTCCAACCGTACACTAAGCAGGTAGTCCAGACAAGTCATTCATTGATTGTCTCATCTAATAGGTGGCAGTTATATAACTGTCATCTAGGAAATTACTGATGCTGCGATATTTTTTGTAATTAAAACTTAAACGAAATGTTTTTAAACATATTTTTAGGCATATGAAAAACACTTTCACTATTTTTTTTTTTTCAAATTGTATGTAAATATTGGTAGAGAAAGAGAAAAGAAAGAAGAATGGTAGCAAATGACAGATTGTTTTTCAGGCGAATATAATAGATAATTTGGATGGACGAATGACTCAGGCTGTTTTACCAAGTGATAACGCTAACAGTTATGTTTACAATAACAATGCAAATGATCAGTGGATGCGATACTTCAATCAGTGGTACATCAATAATCAGCGCTTACAGCATCAGCCGATTGCAAATACTGTTGTTAGCCAATCAGTTGAAGTGACAGGACCTGTGCTGCCACAACACACCGAAGATCAAATTCTTAATCAGCAGCAATCTGGGGTACCTGTTTCTTAGTTCTGTTTAAGGTCAAGAAATTGTAACGATTACCTTTTGAAATTATTTAAGCGCTTGCAAGAATTTCACGGAATCTTAGCTTATTGTTCTGTAGATAACGGATTCGCTGCAAAGTCAAACGGTTCAACAGCATCAAGTTAAACCTCTGCCCCAAGCTCAGCAACAGAAGCAAGAACCACAAATGATGCAGCAATTCCTCAATAAGCCGGTAAATATTGTTTAACGATATTCCATCCCACAACTTTTACGGGACGAAACTTTTCAGCAAAATCTAAATATACCAATTTTTTGCAGTGCAACAGGTGATAGTTACCTAGGCACTTGTATCGAAATCCCAGATAGTATTGTTTATTTGAATTCCTTTACTTAACGATGAATTTTCTTCAATGTTGATCGGCACAGACGAATAGTTGTGAAAAGACTTTGCTGAATGATGTTATAAGACGAATATTAGCGAATATTGTGTAGAGGTGAACAAAAGAATCAATATCTGAAGATGATGATGAAGAAACAACGATGAGTAATAAACAGTAACCGAACTCAGCTCCTTTTGTATAGTGGAAGATTGTTTCCAGAGGATCTCTTACAAATAAATTGACTTATGCAGTCAAACACAAAGATTCCTTTACAGTATGTCGAATATTGTTCATAAACTTGATTATCGACTCTAAGGTTCTTTGCAAATTGAGTTCATTTGGGTTGTCTTTACAACATGAGTTGATCTTTAATATGAGGTGATTTACAACAGATTTACATAACAACGTATTTCTAAAAAGAATATTTCGGTCAGTAAGTAATGGTACAACACTGATACTGAGGAGGCACTGTCGATTATCACATATAGTAATAGCATAAAGGTTGGTGAAGAGGTTTTTATCTATTGGTGAAGAAGGGTTTACTGTATAACAACTGTTGATGAGTGCAAGTATTGATCTTATGTTTATTTCCAGAATGATAACCAAGAGCAGTCTCATTTATTGCATCAAGAACGACTACAACTACCGATGCATCGCATTGAAACTGGCTTAAGTGGTGGTAGTAATGGTTTGACAATGATTGATGATGACCTGAATAAGGAAACGGTTATGGAGGTTTGCAGAACATTTCTAAATAAAAGAACTGGGTTAACACTGCGAAGAGTGATAGATTCATAATGGAATTGGAAATTTGGTTCAATATTAGTAGCAAAGAAATGAATTACCCATTTTAAAATCAAAATTTATCCTTTTTTAAATTTATCCTTTTTAAAAAATAGCCTTTTTAAAATCCTTTCTGTGTTGCTAATTTCCCATTTCGGAAGATATTTCAGCAGTCGGGACCAGTGAATGATATCAATCTCGCATTATCAAATCCAATGCTATTTCAAGTTGATGATCCTCCGCCACAGTCTGCTAGTGTGGATGAAAGTTTCACTAAATAAATACATAAATATTAGCAATAACCGAGAATGGCGAATGGCCCGATGAAATATTACTCTTTTATATTTTATTATTTTCAATTCTGACTTTTTCCACGATTTTGCTAAATTATCATTTCGTTCAAAATAAATTCACTTGCTCTGATTTTGTGGTCAGCGAACAGCTAACTGTGAAGTCTTTCATTCCTAGTTAGAAGTACCATAGCATATTACTAAGCTTACTTTAGAGAGTATTTCTGAGCACTATAATTCTCAGCATTCTTTTATGGAGTTGTCGTGTTATATATTGTGCATGTCGAGGTTATCTTGAATGGTTTTTGTTTTACTCTCCTCTCATTACTTCTCATTACTCTATTGCAGTCTTTTTATTTCGACAAAAAGTCTTCAAAGCTTGTTTTCCTTTTAGGTCTGTGGGAAGGCTCATTTGCAAGTACAGAATTAAACAAAAATAATCCATGATAACTCTCTGAGTTTCATTCTGCCCTTCCGTTCCAGTAAATCCCATGTAAATGAATTATTTCCAATTACAAATTAATTTTTCCCCTCAATTTATTAATTTCTTCCATTTTAAGGCAAATCTATATGTCCAGCGGTGAAAACTTCATATGTCTTGTTCATTCCAAATATAATTCCTATTAATAATAACGGACGGTCACTGTGCAATTTTCCTTTTATTTGAAAGGTCATCTGAAAGCAAGACAATTTCGAGATGTGACATATAAGACATATATTATTAAGTAATAAGAACTTATTAAAGTAATAAGAACTACTGCAGCTCAGTGACTTATATAGTCTCAAATTCAAATTAACGCAGTAAAAGTAATACTTATCAAAGTCAAATAAATAAGTACACTCTCAATCAAACTCAAGTAAAACGATGTTTCCCGTAAAAGAAATTCAAATAAACCGCTGGAAAAAGTGGAAGGCCATTAGAGTGCACAGTACGTCTACGAGGAGTATACATTTCTGTTGTATGAAAATTCTCTTTTAAGCAAAATTTCATCAGTTAGCTGATGATGACAAGTAGTACAGGCCATAACGTTTTGAAGAAAGTCACAAATTTGAAATAATATCAGCAATATAAAAATATCATTTATGTGGAAGTAAATTTTAAGAGACAATTTGAGCATCACATGCCATAGAGAAAAAGATTGAAGAGCGACTGGCGAGTAAATTCTGTGGTGAATCAAATTCTCGAATTGAGCCATTTTCAAGAACTATTATTCTGAAAGAAGAAAAACATACTGCTTGTAAGATGGAATTGTGTGTATTTGATACTTTTCGCCACTACTAAAAAAGCTTTTTAAAAGACTTTATGAGAAGCAAAAATTACAAAAGCAGAATATAGGACGTGAGAGATCAGAGCAAAAAATAAATAAGAATGACAAAACTTTAGATCTTTACTCATTTGTTCAATTACCTGTCGCAATCGATTATGGTATTCAAACGATGTGCAATGGTTAGAACAGTTGAGCTATGGAATTCACGACGAACTGTTTCCTGAATTAATAAATCAGTTGCTAAATCTACAGCAGCTGTAGCTTCATCTAAGATTATGACTTTGCTCTTGCGAAGAAGTGCACGAGTCAAACAAATGAGTTGTCGTTGTCCAATACTAATATTCTCGCCTCCCTCGCTAATCTGATACTGCAAACCTGCAAAGCAAGTTTAATATGAATAAGATAACTGGGAAAGGTATGTATCTTTCAAAATATAATGAAGTTCTGAACTACAACATCATAAGTTTTAAAGTAAGTAAATTTTCGGAAATTTTAAGACTAACTAAAACAATGCTTTCAAATATTTCCTTTCCAGATGAAAATTTTCAGATAATTCATTACATTTTTCCAGCATTGCATAAAAACGATTAAGAAGCAAAATGAACGAACCATTTTTAATCTCACAAACTCACTATTAATATAAATATTATTTTACGGACTAATAAATGTTATCGCAAAATTTTTAATAACTAGCCTCCAGGAAGACTTGATACAAATGCTTTCAAATGAGCCAACTCCAAAGATGCCCATATTTCTTGATCAGAATAGACCTGAGATGGATCCAAATTAAATCGGAGTGTTTCCGAAAATAGGACGGGATCCTGAAACTATGACTTGTATAGTGGAGCAGCAGAAGTTAAATTCATTTAAAGAAATCACAAAAACAAATTGTTTTTTTATGAAAAGGTCAAAATAAATAAGCTATGATAATTTCATTTAGCTCATAACCTCGTAACTTTTACTCAACTTTCAATTCTTGAAAAGATAGTGACCTGTGGAATAATTGTAAGATTCGAGCGAAGGTCATGCAAGCCTATAAGTGAAATATCGACGCCATCAATAATAATTGCACCTTGGATGGGTTCAATAATTCGGAACAATGCTAATGTTAAGGAACTTTTACCTAAACTTTAAGATTACAAGGAATTAATTTTATGTGCAGAATGTGAATACATTAGATAGACCAAGTGAATTGGAAAAAATTGTTAAATTTATATGGAAGGCATGCCTGCGCCTGTACGACCAACAACGCCAATTTTTTCAGCTGGCGCAATGGAAGCATTCAACTGACGTAAAACCAAATCAAAGTTGGGATTAAACTGCGTTGAATAGTTTTTTAATAATATCTGTCCTTCTGAAGGCCAATCTTTCTCTGGTTTGAAGTGATCGACTCTCCATTCTGCCTAAAAAGTTTCGCAATATTTGAAAAGTTACAAAAACACATACAATATCTTAAAGCATGAAAAAGCTATATTAATATATTAGCTATATTTTAAAGTAGTATATATACATAGCTTATTTTAAAGCTATATTAATTCAAATTAGAAATTAAACAATCAGCAGAAAATTCTTCAATAAATGAAAACTTCGGTTGCTATCTCAGCATATTCTTTTATGCGTTCAACAGCTACTATATTCATTTCCAATTCACTGATATATCGTACAGCAAAATTTAGCGCTTCCGTAATCTGCAATGAATGCACTATGGAATGCAATGTTATGACGGACAGTACTAATTGTCGTTTAAAGATTCGTAGGAATTTCATCGACAAAGTATACAAATTACTGCATTGTTAGCGATGTTTTCCATTTTAAAATTGGAAAAGTGTCGGATTTCAAAATAATAAAAATTAATGCTAACCTTTAAATGTATTAATGAAATATGTTTTAGTTGAAAAAAAAAAAAAAACTTTACATTTAGAGCGTAGCTAACACTAAGTCCTGCAATTCCAGCACTCAATGCAGCTCCCCAATGCTGCGAGAGAACTGCAAACAACGCTGCACAAAGTACGACACAATTCCCGATAAACTCCAATCGTACTGCTAACCAGCGATTCGATAAAATGTTAGAATATTTACAACGCATGAAACAATCAATGTGTGTTTCCATTAACTTGCAGAATTCTTGCACCTGTACTGTATTAGTGATCGTATATGGAAGCAGTTCAAAACAATCTTAATAGCAATTATGTTAAAACTAATTTCAAAAGTCAAAAAAACTGCTAAGTGAGAAGTGAATCATCAAATTAGACATCAAAATCAAAGACAGTACTGTTGACAAAAATCAAAGCAACGTCATCAAATCGCATATTAAGTAATACCATAAATATAGTCTTATCTTCATAAAAATATAGTAATAAAGAAAAACAACACGAAAAAGTTAAGTGAGGATATTCTAATTAGAGTATAATGCTACAAGAAATAAATCTTAAGAAAAAAAATCCAATAATATCATAGATAAATTAGCATAATCGATCAATCGACTCACAAAAGCAATGGAAGTGGACAGTCAGTAATGAAGATGAATGGAAGCAATCCTAAAAAACCTTACTGATGATTATTCTAATCCTTTGATTTTAATTACACAAATATATTCTTTACCTTACCTTTTCAAAAGCTCTTATATACATAAGTCCACGAACTGTTTTTTCGAAATGTTGATAAATTGGCGAACGATTGATACTTTCTAATCGTTTCATCTGCCGCGAAGTTGGAAGGTAGAAATACTGTAAGTGTTGGTAATTAAATTGAAATTGTCAAGAATTTTTATTCAAAAGATTACTACCAAAGTAAATGTCTGTGAGAATATAATAAATTACCAGAGAAAAATAATAGAAAAGTGCAAGAGGTATAATAGTAACGACAAAAATAGGTGTCGATATAATTATTATAATTAATATGGTCATAACGTTTTCAATGCAGTAAATGAAGTAGCGAAAACTTATTGGCAGTGACTGATCAATCACATCGATATCCTGCAGAAAATTGAAAGCTAAAAAGAAAGTGACAGATCAACTTTAGTTATTTAGACCTTCCATCTCTGACTGCTATGGAAATCGTCTTGAAGTTCTCAGATATAACTTTTTTCTTTGGAAAATAATAGTGAGAGAACAAATATTGAAAAAAAAAAATGATGGGAAAAAACTATACAAAACTATGACAATTTAATCTCAATGAAATTCATCCAATTTTTGTCATACCCGACCAATCAAAGAAAAAGACAAGTTCGATTAATAAATTTGACTCAAACCTGGCGGCAACATAAAATGAAGTTTAAAAGGAAGTGAACCTTGCCAAGCCTATTTAAAATACGTCCGATAGGTGTTGTATCAAAGAATGACATTGATGAACGCAACAAACGGTGTAATAAAGGAGTATGGAGATTTTCTGATGCTCGAAGCCCGCTTATCACCAAAAATACCACCGCACCAAAGAAACATAAGCCTTGGAAAAGCATATAATTAGTGTTTGATTTCATCATCAACAAATCCCAATAAATAAAGCACTCATGCTAAACTGCGCTAAATCACCGTTTTTATGGATAAACTCGATGAATCTCTGTTTTCTCCACCATAATAGAGTGAATTGTCTTTTTTTATTACTCTTCTAGTTTATTTTCGATTAAAAAAGTAAATGTTAGTAGCTGTGAAATCAGGAAGAAAGTCAGAAAATGACAACAATTTCCTAGTAAAGTCACAGTTTGTCTGAACAAACCTTCAATGAAGCCAAGAGTAACATATATGCCAAGACGTATTCCAAGAGAAAGTTGCTTCATCGACGAACCATTTAACGTCGTTTCATTTACATTTGACCAAAAAAATTGTAATTTTGCAAAATAAAACACTGAGATGAAATTACGAAATTAGGTAGTAAATTGATGATTAACTTGCTTCAATAGTCGTTATTTTCTAACTGTTTTCTATATAAGTATTCTAGCAAGAAATCTTGTATAATTTCCCTACCATTCAGATAGCCATAATCCACGTCCCATCTGAAACAATCCATAAGACAGGAAAAGAAAAAAAAAGAGAAGTGACGTTGAAACAGTTGCCGATCGAACGTACTGCTTGTAAACATCAAATTTGACCTTAAACGATTTTTTTCTCATCGTTTACTCCAGGCTAACAATTGGCTACTCTCGTTAGACACAAAGCACACAAAGCAAGAGAAACAGTCCAGAAGTGTCTTTATTAATGTTCCCAACTACTTATTTGCAGTTACTTCAATTTTCAGTTACATTAGAGTAATGACGTGCAAACCTAGTTAAATGCTAAAATTTCAGTCACTTAATACACTTCATCAAAAGTATCTCAAAAGAAACTTACCCTGCCAACTTTGACTTTCTCAACTTCAGTCATCTTTCCTACTTTTCCCTTCTCACTACTACTGATCGGATCAATCGAAGATTCAAAAAGCGATTCCGCTATGGAAGGATGATGGGAAATGCGTGACGATCCTTGATCCAATACTGATAGAGTCGAAATTCGTCTTGAAAAAAAGAAAAAACCTCATCTTTAATCCTTCAATCTTCTCCTTCATCCTTGCACCTAATTTTGAATAGAATGAGTACAAATAGAACTTTTGTTGCAAGTTTTCCGATGATATTGATATTTTGAAAATGTATCGAATTTTCAATCGAACACAAAAATACCTTTTTTATTTAGACTGAAAAAGTAATGAAACATAGTAATCAAACCTGGCGGTACTTTCCTTATTAACATCCTCAGATTCAGATTCCTCGTATTCTACAATAAAATTTAATTTCTTTTCATTCGTTTTTTTAATTTTCATTTGAGAATGGGAATTTTAATTTCCAGTCAATTGAAAATGGGACTTTTGCTTCATATAATGATATTAGCTGAACATCTAAATTCTACATTGTAGGCTTCTTTCAGATAGGAATCACGAAGGGCAAGACTTGACGTACGAGTACGCAGTGTTAGAAGTAGAAATCATACTTCCGGGAAAGAGGAAATGATTTTCGAATGTTAAAATATTCGATAGAATTTCGCATTCTATTCATAAAAATTGTGAATAAATACTGTTCGAGTGTGAACTGTCATCCAAATTACTCGTTGCACTTTCACTTTCCAATTCTTGTTCTTTTTCATTTTCACTCCTGCATGCTTCAATAAATTTTAAGAAATTCTCGGATTGCTCGAGTAATTGTTTATATGGACCAAATGCTGCTAACTTACCATCTGTAAAATGCAATTAAGCCATTTTCACTTCATTATTTCCATTTGAACTTCTATTCTATTCTTTTAAAATATTTTAAAGTAAGACATAAATTTTTTGAGGTAAAGAAAATAAAATTAGTTACTACTAATTTTCCTTTTTCATCAAACAATAATATTATCACAAATTTAAAATCAACCTTGCATATAAGCAATAATATCAACTTTATTCAGATGTACCAAATTATTTGTTACCAAAATTCTTGTCTTATGTCGCAGTAATCCATTATGACCAATTACCTATGAATGGGAATAAAAGATCCAATCAACTGAGTACAGAGTGATTGAATTACTAAATAAATTTAATGTCACAAAGTTGAACTGATACTGTGTACCTTCTACATATTCCTTTTTCTCTTCCTTATTTCATTATTCCATTATTATGGCTGGAAATTTTTTCGTATAAAAAACAGACACCTGAAGGACAGGTAGAATGTTATCAGTGGACATATTTCTTTGTAATTGAAAATAGCTTAAAAATCCTTAATTATCTTACATTCCTATTAAACAAAAGGACAAATAAACCGAAAATCACCTTTTCAAAAATATGTTTTCCAACATGGCTGTCTACTGCTGATAGTGGATCGTCCAACAGGTAATTATCACGGTTTTGATAAACCGCCCGAGCAAGAGCAACTCGAGCTTTCTGACCACCGGACAAATTGATACCCTAAAAATTAATAGTTGGAGTCAAGAGAAGAAAGGAATTGTAACAAATTCTCGACCGACAATTTCCAGTTTTCCATTTAAAAATAATATTTCAATTTACTTACTTTTTCACCAATTTCAGTAGCATCGCCGTTTGGTAAAATTGCTAAGTCTTTCACTAAAGCACAGGCTTCCATAATTTTATCGTAGTACTTTTGGTCAAACTGTTTTCCAAATAATACATTATCTCGAAGATTTGAATTCTGAATCCACGGTTCTTGGCTAACAATGGCTATTTGGCCAGACACACCAATGCAACCTTTCAATTTCTCCATCTCACCTGAAACAATGCTATCGAATGATTCAGGTTTATCGCTGTTGGCTTCAAATATTTCACATATGATTAGTAGTTTAAAATGATAAAATGATTTTTTCACTTTCTAAAATGACTTTTTTTCATTACCACTTTCTTCTTCAATTTGAAAGATTCTGTCGCTCCTTTATGACACAAATCTGACACTCTCCAAGAAAGAATTTGTACTTATAAACATTATTTCTTTAGACAATATTTAGCAAAAGCGCATTGAAATTGTGAAATAAAATAGCTGCAAAATTTTGAGTTAAAAATTGCGAATCTCTTTTGGTATGAATGCTTGGCTTTGTTATCAACAAATGATGTAATTGAGATTTTATATTTACGAGAAGTTTTTTTTTTAAAAAAAGAAAAACATCACAAAAACTTGAAATAGCTATCTCAAAATAAGAATGAATTACCTAGAATGGCACTAAGAAGAGAACTTTTGCCGCTTCCAACTCTTCCAACCACTGCAATTAGAGATCTCTTTGGTATCGTTAAATAATCGATTTCTAACACAGTTTCCAGTCCTCCAACATTCCAACTCAAACAAGCATCTCGAATTTCCACTGCATTTCCGCCACCTAAATTAATTCAATTAAAGAAGCTGAAATTGAAGCATCCATCAACTTCTATCACTTTATTACAATACGTGTTACTATTATTGAAATGTTATTTTGAATTAAATGATTTAAGAAACCAAATTGATCAGTGATGAGATCAATAGTTAATGGATTTAGTTCATCTGCCACCAAAAAACTTTTAATCCGTTTATTCGCTACTGCTGCCTGAAATAATTGAGTTATCTGTTTTGAAAATAAAATAATGTAATTTATTCCTTTCCCAATATTTAGGGAAATATTATTTATAACACTAATTTGTGAAGTTAAGGTATTAAAAATATTATTTTATTTGATGACTGAGAATTTCGAGTTCCGATCCAAAGACTAAATAATATAAAGGAAACTGAAATCGGATTAGGTATACCTCTACTACCTGTTTCATCAGATATGCGATCATTGCCATTGGTGAACGTAGCTGATTAAAAAGAGTTAATGAAACAAAAGCAATTTGTGGTGTAAGGATATGAGTGGAACTTGACAATGTGTATGTTGCAAATGATAACACCGCTACCTGAAATTATGGCTTTTTCTCGGAAAACATGAAATAGTGACAAAATTTTTTAGACCATCAGATTAGGGAAGTTCTTTTGATAGTAAAAAGTTAACTAGGGAGATCTATAATAGATCATACAAAATCTTACAGTACACAAAAATGTCTGGTTCAGATGATTATTACAAATATTATAGTACTTTTCTCGGTAATTCAATTTGAAAAACTTTCTTTATCTTTGCCTTAAATCAACACTGAATATTCTTCAAAAGTCTAATTGTTATTAAAGTTCAACTCTCAATGAAATTACCAAAGCAAAGACTCACTACATTTTAGCATCATATTGTTAATTCAGAAGTTATGAACCAAAAGGAAACTCACAAAGAATGGTGAAGAAATGTTAAAAGTATCGATGAGAGCCCTAGTTAGACCCATTTTCCTAATCAAATAGAGCTCTTTGCTTCTAATTCTCTCAACAGCTTTTTCCATTGGTGGTTCCCACGAATACATTTTGATTACTTTTATACCATTCAATATTTCATTACAAATTTTCAATCGTTGATCTTTCAAATTCATTTGTTCGGTCTGAAATGTAAAATAAGGAAAAATTCTGAGGAAAATTCGAAACTTAAAAAAAGGAAAAAATAATGAAAAGTAAGTCATGCATCTATTTCTGAAACAAACAAATGAAAATTTGTGACATCAAAAATGAAACTTTTTGGAGGCAAAAAAAATGAGAAATGAAACAAATAAACCTGCCATTTTTTGACAATAATTGAAGTAATAATATTTAATGGCAAGAACAGAGTCATGACAATAATGTCACAAGCAGCTGATGCTCCAATGGTAAAGAAATGATATATTAAGACAAGCATAATCTGCAAATACTGTTTATGTTGAAATTTTAAGCGAACAGATGTGGATGACAAGATTTAAGAAGCTTAAATAGATAAAATGTGTCCAAATTATTAAGAGCCAAACTAATGAGAAAAGGACTAGTCTGAAAGTAAGCAAAGAATTTAAATGTTACTAAAAATGTAACCAAAATTATCAAAAGATGTTATTGTGTTGCTAAATTACAATGATTTAAATTAGAAAATAATCAAAATTACAACAAACCTGAAATGGAGATGACCAGAATTGCTGTACGTATGCTGTAATAGATTGAAAGCTCTCCACATCAATTGCCATTAAATTCACAATCTCACCCACTGTCCTAGCTCTTCGGGCTGAATTCGACAGCCTCAAAGTCTTCAATTTGATATATTAACAAGCAAGATGTATAGAATTGACATAAAATCTTTATCCTTTAATACTAGAAATAGTTCAGTCAGAGTTTTATAGTCTAAAATCTAAAATTTAGAGTATCATTTTAAATGTCGCAATAAATCCGAGTGAGATAAACCTTCCGATAAATAGCAGCAATTAATGTGGACTGAATTTTGGTACCCACTCGCATCATCAGGTAAAAGTAGTAATTGAGGAGAAATGAGCGAAGTTCAACGCATACAAACATTGCCACTGCATAGGTAATGCCTTCCATGAAGATACGATCCTTAGTTGAAATGTAATTTAGCAATAAGCTGCAAGATAGTGAAGCCTATTTGGATGGTTGTTGCAGAGAAGATTAATTTAATTCAAAAATGACGACTTTAAGAAATTGGTAAGATAGTATCAGGTAAGTGTAGAAAGTTGAAAATGGATTATCTCAAGTTATCCCTAATATTTCACAAGGACTCTCAAAATGATCAAAAAAGACCCTTCCTTAAAGTAGTCATCATTTCAATCTTTTCCATACATAATTTGTCTGATTAAGTTTCAGAGAAAAAATTGATTTCAGGAATAAGTTCTCGAAATTCCTGTGAGTTATCAAAAACTGCATACTTGAGAAAAAATGGATTAGCAAGTTGCATCATATCAGATAGGATTTTAATAGCTGTTGCTGATAAAATTTCAAAACGAAACATTAGAAATAATCGCCACACGACTGATGGTGGTTCCGGTCTGTTTTCTCTGAAAAGAATTGTTTTTGAAATTATACAGACCCAAATTTAATTTTTTTAGATTAAGACCAAACTTTTTAGAGCATTTAGAAGTGTTGTCGTTTTGCAATGTACTTTCATAAATTTTCTGTCTTCTACGATAATCTGAAACAAATTTAATACATATAAATAAACAAAAAGAAAAGTTATATTAACATTTGAAGAAACTTTCTTTAAGATTTAAAAAAAAAATTTAAATATATGTTAGCTTTTACGTTTTCAAATAGCTGATTATTTCGATTCTTTTTTTTTTAAATCGTATTCAATTCATACGGTTATCACAAACCCTCAATAGCAGGATTCCACAGTTCTTCCCATTTGGTAGATAAATATTCGGCAGTGCTACCCTCATTAAGTTGATATAAATCATTAGTAACCAATGTTTTTCGAGCACCAAGCAACTGAATTGTTGTAAACCACCAGAGTGACAAACGATTCAGGAATGAGCTATACAGTTCAGGTGACAAATTCTGGAAGAATTATACTCTGAATATTAGTGATGTTATTGTTTTGCACATTCAGGTAAGAAAAATTTTTTGAATTTCTTGGAATACAGATCGCAATCTATTGTAATACAAAATGTAAATTCCTATTTTTGATTATATCATGGCTTATCAGAATTGTAATAGTTGATTCAATTTTTTGATTCCTCAAAAATTTAGTGATAAAGCTTGAAATTTTCATTGCTTTTAGAGAATGTAATTGCGGAACATTCATATGGCTAACTTTTTTTGTGTTCGCGAATGCGAACACAAAATGATTTTTTATTTTATAACTAACTGAACAAAAATTGAAGATCCGAAAATTCTGGTTAATTATGAGGAAAATACGTTCAAATTATTATTATCTCCTGAATTTTCTTTCATATTGTAAAAAAAGAATACCAGTTGCTTCCTTGCTTCCGTCAAGAATGGCGCTCGATAATCGGCAAATGAAAACAAGAAGGCTTGAAAGGTAACAAATGGATACCACAAGTGACAGACGAGAAAACGAGCTTTATCTATGTTTTGCATTGACTGAAAAATAACCATTATGGATAACTTAACTTAGTCAAATATAATTTTATATTCGAAGCCTACTCTACATCTCATCTATCGATTTGCATGTTCATATGACAATCACAAATTGATAATTTTTTATCATTTTCTGTGCACTTAGTTACTGAACTCTTAGCTAAAGTCAAAAATTTCTAAATTTTTTGCAAAAAATGCAAACCATAAAACCGCTAATTTCTTGCCATTCAAAGAAATATTCCGGAAAGTCACACAGTACGAAGAGTATCAAAGTAATATGTATTATCCCAGAAGTGATCATTCCATTTTTCCGTGCCGTTAAAATACAACAAAATAAGCCCAACTGAAACAGAAGATTTGAACTGTTTATCTCATTTTAACAAGATTTAATATGACAGAATACTCAATTTATTTAGGCTATTCAATTTTTAATACATTATTAAACTGACCATAGTAATTGTAGTAATGGCTGGATACAGCAAATCAGTAAGCAATATATTTACACCTCTTTCATTATTATGCAGGTTAATGACAAGCCTTGCAAATGCGCTTGCTAATAAGCATATCATTAATACCTAAAATGTTTTGATATATGGTTAATTTGATATTCTCTACTGCTTCTCAAAAGGTTATTCAACCAATTTCACAACATAACTTTGCTGTTTTAATCATTATTCTAATCTGTTCCGTTCATCATTCAGGCCAGTCCAACTTTCCGGTTCGTTTCTTATAGTATATTTCAATATTCAATTGCATGTCACTGCTCTTTTACAAAAATATATGAAAAGTTACAGTTTTAGTAATCAACAGTGCAGTCCATGGCAGCGGTTGAGAACGCATTCCTCCATTTAGTCGTATACGACAAATCAGTGCGCAAAAGACTGGCAGTAAGAGCCAGAAGAATATGCACGGTAGAACAGGTAGAACAGTAACTCGAAGGCATCCAAAGTCATCTCTTACAGTTTCATTCAAACTTTCCTAGAATTTAGAACAGTAACTCGAAGGCATCCAAAGTCATCTCTTACAGTTTCATTCAAACTTTCCTAGAATTTAGCAGTGCAGTCCACTACAGCATTAGTCGAATTCATGCATATGATAATAGTGAATTGCTGAAGAATTTAAAAAAAATTGAAAACTAATTGAAAAAGGACTAACGTTGCAATATGTAAGCAACGTGTCAATTAATATCATAGCTATGTTGATAAGATTCTTATCAATTCACTGCAACAGAAAACTGAAATAATTTGATTACATATTCAAAAAGAATCAGATGTATTCAATACTGCTAAATATTTTATAAATAGAAAAGCACAGCAGATTGTCGGGAATAAAAAATAGGTGTGAAGAGGAAAGTTATTTAAGGAAAGAATAAATAATTTATTGTTTATAAAAAGTTTTGTGAAACCTTTGTGAGGAATACACTTTCAGATGAACGACTTATCATAAATAAATGAAGTGTCGAAAATTTCAACTCATTTGGATGTTATTTAAAATTAATAGAGCTTAAATTATATAAGAAACCCTTAATTAATCAAGTTCATTATTGGTATTTATACTGAGTAATGATTACAAAAAAAAAAAAATCAATGATTCAAATTTGTTGTTTTGACACACACAACCATAACTAACAGTCCAATTTGTTCACTAAATTATTTTATCGTTGACATTGCAAGTAACATGTCGGTGATAAAGTGTCAAAGCGAACATCACAAAATTCATCCATTTTACAATTGAGAATGGACAGGAACGACGATTTATTTTTGATTTGAAATACTTTGTATAAAAATAGTGATAGTACTGATAAGAGCTAACGTAGTGATTACAATATCAATGTTCGCAATGTTGAGGACTTGTTCGGGAGTCGTTGTTAGAAGAGCAACCACCAAGTAAATATTAATCAAAATGACCTGGGGATGATCAGTGGACATTTTGCTAATATAAATTTTGGTTTTTGTATGCAAACAAAACATATTGTCGTATTATATAAACGGGCTAACCAATCAACTAATAAATTCGTTTAGATTATACCTTGTGAATATTCAAAGCAGCAATCAATCTGTGATATCTTCTAATGTAGTCTGTCTGAGTCATTGTTTACATTCTGCTATGTAATGTGTTTATTGTAGATAGGAATAGAATGCAATGTGACTGCATGTGACAACTATCAATGGTAAATGAATTATCGTTTCTGATGTTGTCAAGCATCAAAGAGATCAAAACATCAAAATTGTGAATGAGCGGGTTGTTTTGAAGCAGAAATTAGTCAGAACACATGTCGATGAAAGGAATAAATAATTGTTAAGGCAGAAAAATGATTGTATGTTGTTTGGATTGAATTCTTCTGGAATTGTATAGCAGTTGCTTATGAACTTTAAAAGTAATTAGCAGTCAAATGATAACCAAATAATTAATAGCTAGTAGTCGGCATTGATTTCTGATGATAACAGCATTAATGCAACCAGTAGTTTTTTCTTTTCGGCTATACTCTACTTTTTTCTGCATAAATTCAACCTGGTAGAAGAGAAATAAAAACATTGCAGGCAATCTGTTGAACTATTTCAAGTCACAGTATTGTCAAACACGACGATCTGCTCTCTTGTATCACAAGTATCCGGTTAACACATAATTACAACAACAACAGGTTCGGTTTTTTTTTCGTTTGTCGGAAAAGTTATCATTTCATAGTTTCTGACTTATCAAACAGCAACAAACAACATTTTCCATATATCATTAATAAAAGATGCAAACAATCATTCTTGAAAGTATGAACGAAATGACAAACGTCTGATCGCTGCTTAATCATTTTATAATTATGTGATAAACTTATTATAACTTCAGATAAAATCATACGTCCAAATAAAATTTGCAGAATATGTTTTGTCCAGAATCATGATATTATTTGCATGAATATCAATTACTGTATTGGAATCACAAATGGATCAGAATATTATAGTTAGAGAAGAATTATATTTCGATAGAATTAGAAAGAGACATTTAGTTCAAATGATTGATAAGTAAATTTAAAAAAAGCAATATTACTCATCAATCCAATTGTATGTAGTTTATTACTTTATTTAAGTTGAATCGACTTGCATCAACTTGCTACTTTAAATCAGTCAATCAATCAATCAGTCAATCAATCAATTCTGATATTATATGGAATTTTATCTGAATAATTTTTTTAATTGAAATTTCCTGCAATTGAAGTTAACTGTTTTGATAAAATCCAAGACATTCTTATTTATGTGTGCAATAAATTAAACTCAAATCTTTTACTTAGTTCACGTGTGAACAATTTAACGCAGTTAGGAATATTCAGAATGTTCTTATCAAATTAACATTTTCCTTATCAGACAATAACAATTTCCTAGTTACAGCTGGAAAATTAATCTTTTAAGATTTTTATTTCTCAAAATTGGGTGGAAGAATAAATATTGCTGCTAAATCACCTTTTACATGAGTTTTTAAAAAGTCCTTTCGAAAGAAATTAATACCTAAACTCTGTAAATAGGAAAACATAGTAAAAACAATTATTTCACAACTATTAATAAATACATATTTAATGACAAGTTTAAGCAAATATCTGGGATCAATGATTATAGAATTAATGGTAGGTAATCTGATTAAACTATTACAATCCTTATTCTATTAACATATTTTTATTTCTCAAGATCTATGGACATACTTTATTTTAGAAAGTGTATGCTCATTTTGAATTCTGAGCTACTTCTTATGAGAGTATTACAGGAAGAAATTGGATGGAAGCTTTGTTCCATTTTTGATTGTGACGATGCACTGATGTTAATTTAGATAATTTACTTTCTCAGTTAGTTTCATTTCTAAAAGCGATTTTCGCGCTTTTGAAGGATTTTAAGAATTTTAATAATGACAAGTATTAAATTTGTAAAACTTATTTATAAGTAGGCGAACAAATTATTAACATTTCTCATCTTTTAAGAATGGACTTAAACTACCAGCAGAAGAACTGCTACAACTTCCATCTCGAATACCGCTATCGATGCTACCATTAGATATGCGAGTATCTGTGGTGTCAAATGTTTGTTTTATTGTTGCTGATGGGACATGTAGTGGAATTGATTGAGTTTGGCATGAAGAAGGACACGTCACAGCAATGAGCGGTAATAAATCTCTTCTTGAAATGATATTACCATCAATCTGCGATGAATTTTCCTCGACTAATTCCTGCTGATGCTGCCGCTGCTCTTGATGATGTAACTGCTGGCAACGTTGTGACAATTGTGACAATCGACGATGCTAGCAATTATGAAACAATAAATTTTTTTTTTTCTAGTCATGAAAATTGAAAAAAGAGACATGAAAAAACTGTATAAAACCAAAGTGATCTAGGAAATGTGATTTTACATTCCTTTCAGATTTATTTGGAAATAGAAAAATCTAAAGAAATTCGCAACTATCTAAAAAAAGACCATTAGAAAGCTAATAAAATGATACCAATTTTTCATTTGTTGACATTCGATTACAACTTCTTGGCGGAATTGGTATGCGAAGGACAGAATTCTTGCGAGAAAAGTACTGCTTGTTTTGATTTTCCTTCGGCTCATCATCCACATACAAATTAGTAACTGCTGATATTGACTTATTGAATGTTTTCGTCTTATTATTGGACCACCACTCCTAAACTTCAAAAAGATGAACCAATCACTTTGGAACGAAAATGCTTACATAAGCACCTAAAGGTGAATTCATTAAAAGTGCCATTCTTAATTCAAAAATCTTCACATGTCGAAACATTTGATGAATTTTTTTTTTCACATCATTAGCTAGTGAATTCATGTCTATGATCATTAGCAAGGCTTATTTTGGAAAGGTTTCTAATGCTTCGTGCCTATTGCTCTTTCCTCTTTGCTTATTTCATTTAATTGTCAGCTGATTAAGAAAATAATTTTGGAAAGAAATGAAAAAACGATAGCTTCGCTTTTTTAAAAAGAAATGTGGCATTTAATTTGTGTATTTATTGCGAACCTCATCGTCATCAATTTCCTCCTCTAACGAATTCAGGGATAATTGGCTACAGTGATGAGCTTGACTTTTGGATTTCAATTCCTGGATGGAATCTCCAAGTGCTAATAACTGTTGCAGCAATCGGACGTCATTTTCCATCAGCGAGATCTGCAGCAATTAAAATAATATTAACAGGTGTCATCAGTGGCAAGTCAACTTAATTACTCAATTTGCATCAGGTCTTGTCCCATTTTGTGTTACGTCCAACTCTTGCAAGTCTCCCATATGAATGAATAATTTAACTAGCATTATTCTATGCGTTTCAATTTAATTCATCTATCCTTCCTACTTTATTCTTGTGTTCAATTCTTGCTACGAATATTAAATTGTACTATGCTATGTTTGTGACCTTTTTGAGTTCACTGAAACGGAACATTTTCTATTTGCATATTTGTTAATCCCTATAATTCCTACTATTATCAATACATGACAAGAGGACAATTGACGAAGAAAGCAGAGATAGATTAAGGGAAAGTTCTTTTCAGTCTCAAGCCAATGTCATTTAAATTGTCTATGAGTTATAGATATGTTTTAATAGTAATAGAGAATGAGATCAGTAAACAGGAATGAATGGTAACAAGGAGGTGACAAGCTCTAAGTTAGTCCTTTTAATGTTGACGTTTGAAAACAGTGAGTGTATGTTTGCTTCTGCTAGTAATAATACCGGAAATGGAGGACAACAACTGTATCTGTGACAACATGCCTCAGCACTTGTAATAGTACATGTTTTAATATTGCCTCAGCGACATAATCGAAATTCAATAAATGCTGCGATGTGCTCATTTGTTGTAGAAGGTTAAATAAATTTAGAGTTATTGCGCTAATTTAGAGTTAGAAGGTTAAATAAATTTAGAGTTATTGTCATTTCTGTTATGCTTGCAAGACAGTTTGGACAAAGGCATCGTTTATTGGGCTCTGTTCAAATGGCCAAAGAATCTTTGAAGTGTAGATTAGATTACAGGAGAAAGACTACAAAGGAAGCAAAGGGAAAAAATGAAAAATTATATTCCACACTTCAATGTTTTAGTTATTTTATTATCTAACCTTATTGTTGGTACCATGCACTTTTTCAAAGGACTAACTGATAAATGTCCAAAGAAGGTCATGAGTCTTTCTCTTCCTGTTGATCATTGATTTGTGGTGGTCAT